ATCATTTCTTATGCCTTCATCCTCGTTGCCATCCTGAGGATTCGTTCAGCTGAAGGAAGACAGAAGGCATTCTCTACCTGTGCATCCCACCTGACCTCCATCACAATATTTTATGGGACAATTATTTTTATGTACCTGCAGCCTAAGTCAAGCCATTCTCTGAACACAGATAAATTTGCTTCGGTGTTTTACGTAGTAATAATTCCCATGTTAAACCCATTGATCTATAGCTTGAGAAATAAGGAGGTAAAGAGTGCTCTGAAAAGAATGATAGAAAAGTTGTGTTTGGTTATCAAATAATATAGGAGTCACTAGGCCAAGATCCAAGGACTTTGAGTTGGGCATTAGCTAGAGTAATAGTGCTGGTATTGGTAGAGACACATTCTTCACTTTGAGTGCTCAGATTCACTCATCCTCAGTTTCAGTCTTGATAATTTCCACGTGAAAGGCTTTTTGCACGTTTTGAGTTGTTGGATTTTAATTGAGGGGAGGATAAGGGAGAAAGTGAATGAGATCTTAATCCAATTTAACCACACATCTTTATCAATAACTAAAGAAACAGCGTTCTGGGATAGAGGCTTTATCTGAACTCTGTGAGATACTGACAAACATGGGTTATATTGAAGTACATAAACATTTGTGTGTTACATTTCAAGTTTGCTGCATAGATAATCTGGAAAAAAATAAAGTTTTAATAGCAATAATTTCTTGATTTTTAAGATCCTGGATAATTTCTACTTTTTCTGCATTTTTCTGGGAAAGATAGTGCTAGCAGATTTATATTGACCAAAAGAGTGTTTAGTGACTGATTGTTACCAGGTCAGATCACTAAAGCCACTTTACACCATTATAATTCACTGCTTTATTACAATAAAACCATGGGTAAATTATTTTACACTTTTGTACCTTGGTTTCTTCATCTGTATAAGGCAGCAAGAACTCCTTTCCCCCCTGGGTGACTGTGGGTTAAACAAGATTGTATATATAAAGGGTATTTTCTAGCTCCTACCATAGGAGCTAGAAACATTTTTATTGCACCTGTGATTCCTTTTATTTGGTTTTAGGTGATTGTGTAATAGTCTTTTGTGAAATAGATGGCAATGTGGTTTTCTTCACATTTAAAGCCATAAAATGAAAATGGAGAAACTGAGGAGTTATGGCATTGTGATTTTTTTTTTTTTTTCCTTGGAGGAGGGTAGTACAGCGGTTGAATACAGGGGCTCTTCACCACTGAGCCACAGGTCAACCCTTTTTATTTTTTTTATTTTTACACTGAATAGTAAATCACAACAATGTTACTCCAATCCTAGGTTTACATTAAAATTCTTAAGCAGTGGTAGAGTGCTCGCCTAGCATACTTGAGGCATTGGGTTCTACCTCAGCACCACATAAAAATGAAATAAAGATATTGTGTCCACCTTCAAATTAAAAATAAATGTTAAATAAAAATCTTAAGCAGTTAAGAAATCATAAAGTACATAAGCCTGCTCCCGGCATAGAAATTTTACACCTTTCCATATTATTCTTATACCATGGGAGGTAAAATGAAGGGAGAAGCCAGCATGTATAATGCAGAGGACTTTCTGTCTTTATCATCCTTTTGCTACCAGTGATGTTAACATCCAGTGTTTCTCAGCATCTCCAGTCTCCTCCCAAAACTAGATGCTTAGCTGTTGCTGTAAAACCTATGCATGTTTTACTTCAGCAGTATGACATCACTGATTCCCTTTGTTATTAGTAACTACCTTGGTTAAAAAGATAAGAAAAGGGCCCTTGACTCAAAGAGACAAAAATCTCACCTAAAACTTGAGAGTTTTAAGAGAAATGTTTCTTGGTGAAATTCAACTCATATAATTATTTATGTATTTATGTATAAAATCTGAGCCGGGCTGGGGATGTAGCTCAAGCGGTAACACGCTCAACTGGCATGCTGGGTTCGATCCTCAGCACCACATAAAAATAAAATAAAGATGTTGTATCCACCGAAAACTAAAAAATAAATATTAAAACATTTTCTCTCTCTTTCTCACTCTCTCTAAAAAAAAAATGTCAGCCATTGCTCCTTAATTAAATAACTTGCAGATCAAATTAAGTGCCACAAAGACTAAAGAAAAAACTATATAGGCTATAAGTGTGTAAGTACCAGTGGTTCTTCCTAGGCTGTACTTTAATATTTCTTAAAGTAAAATATTATAGGAAAAAAAATTCTTCAACAAATACATATGAAATGTAATTGAGGAAATATAACAGAACTCGCTAAGTTGCTGAGACTGGCTTTGAATTTTTGATCGTCCTGCCCCAGCCTCTCAAAAAGCTGAGATTTTAAATAATAATAGTCATACAGTAAGGGCTTTTTTGTGGTTGTTGTTGTTTTTATGTTATTTCTTGTTTTTGTGTTTTTTGGTACCAGGGATTGAACCCAGGGGCCCTTAACCACTGTACAAAATCCCCAGCCATTTTTTATGTTTTATTTATTCATCAAGTTGCTCAGGCCCTCACTAAGTTGCTGTGGCTGACTAAATTCGCAATACTCCTGCCTCAGTCTCCCAAACTGCTGGGATTACAAGTGCATGTCACCACACCAGGCACTGTGTTCTTTCTGAGGCACTGAAATCGCTCAAAAATTGAAAAGAACTGAAAGGTAGCTACAGGATAGAAAATCTAAAATGAACTATAAAGATTTTCATATTAGTATGCAAAAGTAATTGCTTGGAATTTTATTTGTTAGGTTACTAATAAATTATAGAGACAAAAACAAAACAAATAAAGAAACCCAGCCCCTTTTATTTTTTTTTTTTTTATTTTGAGATAGGGTCTGGTTAAGTTGCTCAAGACCTCACTAAGTTGTTGAGGCTGGCCTTCAGTTTTGTGATTATCTTGCTTCAGCCTCCGGAGTTCCTGGGATTACAAGCATGTGTCACCACACTGAGCAAACAAATTTGATTTAAAATAAAACATACTATTTATGGTTCATGTCACTAATGATAATGAAGCTGATGTTTACATCATCTCTCCGTTAGGTGCCAGACATGTGCCAAGGTGTTTACACCATTTTTAAATGCTCATACCACAATTTGGGAAATGAGTATTTTGCCTATTTTATTAGTAATAAGAGATTTGTGTATCACAAATCTGGGGATAGCAAAACTAAAATATGGGGACAATGCTTTCTGAATTCAGGCATGATGTTCACTAATCTTGGACACTAATAAAATTTGTTATGTTTTTTTTCCCAAAATCAAAATAGATTAGATATACAGACTAAACTAGACTCTATCCTGATGTAAAAACATCATAGAGGCCATAGACAGAGGAGTGCAAAAATACAATATTTATTTTAAAATACCTGGAAAGAAAATGATTAATGTTGATTTTGATGTTGATTTTGATGCTTTGATTGAGGAACTATATTGAAGATATGAAATCATTCACCTAAAGAAATTTCCAGAGTGCAGTTCTAGATGAAGTACAGACCTGTGTGTCTTCTCATAAAGAAGCATAATATCATGTCTTTGAGTTGCTTAGCTCATATTCTTAATAAAAGTTAGATTTACTTTGATATGTGATTGTGAATATCAAGGAATTAAAATTATGCACAGGCATGAAAACTTCAATTCCAATTAATGTTTAAATATCACTATCATAAATAATTATATGAAGCAAAAAAGGTGGAAAAGGCCCCAGAAAACCAGTATTTCTCAAGGTTTCATAGACCTGGATTTCTTTACCTATAAAAAGAGGAACTGCAATGCTTCTATTTGTCATGTTTGTGATATGTGAGAATATTTTGTATACCTACCATACAAACATACACTCACAAGACAAAGCATAAAAAAAACATATGGATTTTTCTTTTAATCTTGTTTTAAATACTGGAGAATGCATGCAACTCACAAGTTCTAAAAGTATCTCATAGATGCATACCTGAATCATTCACAAATAAAATGTTCAACAGAACATAATCACACTTTTTACTGCAAATCTCAACCTATATTCTATATAATGGCTGCAAATTTTAAGATTCATAATGTCTTTCCAAACAAACCAAAGAAAATGTAATAATATTAAAACAATAGTTTAATTACTTGAATGTCAAAATAATAAATACATATCAGATCAATACTTTTAATTTTCATGAATTACTTCAATTAAAAGCAATTTTTTTATATCTTGTTGTCCAATTGTATTTGAAAAACTAATTGAATATTCCTCATTCTCAACACTGTGTTAAAAAAACTCAGATCAATTTGAAATTGCATTTAGAAATGTTCATATTACTGGTTATGTTACCTAAGGTGACTAATAAATAATAGATCCATGGGTGAAAACTCATGCATCTCTTAGTTTTATTTGATTTGCCTGTCAGATAGATGAAAATGTAATATGGTTGTGTCCATTTCACTTAATGACATTGAAAGGCTAATGAATTAATCATTTTATAGCAAAACTTATGTAACTAACACAAAGCACTTACTACCATTGCATATAGCTCTATGCATTTTATAAACATTAACCCATGCAATCCTCAGGACAAGCCAATGAGTTTGTTCCTCTTATTTTTCAGTGTTGGAAACAAGAATTGCACAGAGTGGAGGTGGGTTGTCCCCAGTCTGTTTGCAAACTAATTGAAAGAAGTAACTTTCAGACTCAGGCAAACTTGTTCCAGAGTCCAAAACCCTAACAAAAGCAAGCCTCTGCCTTTGCTTGAGATACACTTACGTATTTGCACATGTAAGTGTGTCTTTGTTTGTATTTGAACATGACTTCAGTGGATGGGTAAAGCAATAATGGCCTGAACAGGAAGGACTCTTTATATCATGCTGCCTTTCCAAGGTGTTCTTGGGTCCTTGGATAATATGTTAAAATCTATGAAAGGAACAGTGGTATTTTCAATTGGTTGGGAAAGAATTACAAGAAAAAGTTCTACTTACTTCCCTCATAAATTGAAGATCAGAACAAAACAAACAAACAACAACAACAAAAAAAAACCCACTTCATTACTATTTTATTAATTTTAATATTTTTAAGGTTTCCCAGCCTTTATCCAAGGCTTTCTTGGAGGCATCTTTCACCTCTTTGTTCCTGAGACTGTAGATCAGGGGGTTCAACATGGGGATCACCACGGTGTAAAACACAGAGGCCATCTTGTCTGTGTCCAAAGAGTGGTTTGACTTGGGCTGCAGGTACATAAAGATCAGTGTGCCATAGAAAATAGTAACAGCCACCATGTGAGAGCCACAAGTGGAGATGGCCTTGCTCCGTCCCTGTGTGGAACGGATCCTTAAGATGGCGGCAATGATGAAGAGGTAGGAGGTGAGGACGATGGAGGAAGAGCAGATCATATCAAAGCCAGCAAAAGCAAAAATCAGAATTTCCTTCACGTGTGTGTCTGAGCATGACAGAGCGAGGAGGGGGAGGTCATCACAGTAGAAATGGTTAATTACATTGGGGCCACAGTAAGTCAGACGGAAAGTGATAATGGTGTGGAAGAGGGCAACCAGAAAGCTGTACCCATAAGGGACTGCCACTAACTGGATGCAGACTCTTTTTGACATCAGTGTGGAGTAATGCAGAGGGCTGCAGATGGCGACATAGTGGTCATAGGCCATGGAGGCCAGAAGGAAACACTCAGTGATCATGAAGGTGAGAAAACAGCCCAGCTGTGTTGCACAAGCATGGAAAGAGATAATGTTGTGTTGCACAACAAAATTCACCATCATCTTCGGCGTAATTGCAGAGGAGTAACAAAGGTCGACAAAGGCCAGGTGACTGAGGAAATAGTACATGGGTGTGTGGAGTCGAGCATCGATCCTGATTAAGGCAATCAGTCCGAGGTTGCCCAGCACTGTGACCAGATAGATAACTAAAAACACCAGGAAGCATGGGACCTGAAGCTCTGGCCGGTCTGTAATTCCCTTGAGAATAAATTCAGTGACATAGGAGATGTTAACTTCAGCCATTTATTCTGGCAGTTTTTGTGGCTTTCACTGCAGGTAAGGATAGAAATAACATTTCTCATGGCTCCTTCCGGTGCTTGGGGAAAGATCATTATCAGCATCTTCTTACTTTGAACTATGTTATTATGTGGGTAAACATGGACCTTAAATCTCTAGTGAGGGTTCTCCATTCTGCTCCCAGGGAAGGGTGTCACATACTCACAGAAGAGTGATCTAAGAGTTACTTTACTTTGTTAATTATAGAAAATAAAATAAATATTGTTGATTAAAATTCAATTTTATGAACTCATTTGAGAAAATTAATAGCCCAGTTTTCTTACCACCACTAGCTTGTCTGTGCATTTAGAGGTACAACAGCACAAAAACAGACAATTCATAAATAGACCTCCACTTATATTCCAGCATTGTTCAATTTTGTGCATGTTTTCATAAGATATGCTGAAACATTTCATAGAGATTCTATACATTAATTTATATATTAATATATATCAAAATAATTTTACACCACCTACAACCTGCTAACTTTCCTACATGTCCCTCTCCATTTATAGAATAAGTAATCTATGCTCTAGAAGTTAAAAGAAAATTAACAAGAAATATGGGCAAATACACAATTTATTTACACAGATACTAAGCAGGCATGGATTTTTTTTTATAAATAAATATACACAGATTCTTTGTTTCACTCAAGAATATTTTAGTATCATGGGTTCTCTGATTCGCATATGAAACTTGAACATACCCAATTTTTTTCTTACAATGTCTTTTTTTAATTATAGTTTTGAAGTTATTTGAATTCTAACTGAGGTTAACTATATAGCTACCACATGTGTAAAAGAAAATTAAACCATATTGTCTGAAAAATGGTGTCAGAGGAACAGGTTTACTTTTACATTATTATAATATTTTAATTAACCAGAGCCATCTTTTGTATTATAATTTCATAAATTATTGCATTTATATAATTTCAAGCTTTGTGGAGATTCTAAGCTATGTTCAAACCAAATCAAAGGGAAGCATAAAAATATAAAGCCATCGATTAGAACCTGATGGTGAGTATTGACTAGAAAGTAAAATGGAATGTTTAGAGCCACATTGCAGCAGAGAAGCAGAGTTCACAGTGGAGTCGCATACTGAGCTGGAGCTAAAATTTCAAATTTGATCAACTTAAATATCACAGAGACAAAATTACCTTTGAAATCTGTAAAAATGTCCATAAAATACTTCCCTTATGGTGTGTCTAATCTACAACTGTCTAGATTATTATATCATCCCAGATATGTTTAAAGTAATTTGTCACTGCCAACCAATTTCTCTAAGTTGTTCAGAAGCAATCATCATTCCAAAGTCTGACCATTTCTTCAGTCATTGCCACATCTCTGTCAGATTTGCAGGGGAATCTTTCTAATCATTTACATCTTAACAATAAAGTTTTTCATAAATTTCAATGTTTCTAGCTTCATTGCCTGTCTCAAAATTTCCTGCCCACTGAAATCACCTGTATCTTTTTAATAGCCCAGTGCTTAGGTGCCCCATACCAATTTATCAGAACATCTAGGGGCATCCAGGGACCAGAATTTCTTTCTTTCTTCCTTTTTTCTTTAGGTTGTAGTTGGACACAATACCTTTATTTTATTTATTTTTTTAATGTGGTGCTGAGGATTGAATCCAGCACCTCCCACGTGCTAGGTGAGTGTTCTACCACTGAGCCATAACCCTAGCCCTGGGACCTTCCCAGGTTCTTCTAAAGTTCAGCCATGTTTGAACACCAGTATCCTAAAGAACAAATTCAGTGATGGTAATGGCAAGCAGATTCAGTCATGTCTTCAGAATTACTTATTTCTCTTTTGGTTTTTATTTGCCTGAGGAGTAGTTGAATTCACGTCTATAACTCCACCATGCCAGTGCAATTCAAATTTAAATATGCCTATTTTTATTCCTAGGGCAGAAACTTAACAAGGGTTATCTGAATAAGAAGAGTTGTAAGAAAATTGCTTGTCAGTTTCTCTGTTTACATGTGCTCCTTCCTGAACATGAATGCCTGAGAAGACATCTCAGCTTGTGGTTCTTATTTATCTTCCTGTTTCAAAGTCTACCCTCCTCTGATTTTCTGAATAAGGGCTGACTTATCATTCTCTTGGAATCTTATTATTTCTTTCCCCAAGGTGCAAAAATATTTTGGATTCTAAAAAATTTGGACATTTGAATAATTATTTTCATCAATACACCACAGGATTCAAATATGATTAGTAAGAAAAATTTCACATATGTTAAATTTATGGTTAATTGCTATTTATAAATAATGGAAAAGTGTAGGTTATTTCAATTATTTTATAGTAGTATATATTTAACCTTAGGTCTCACACATTCATACATATACATATGCGTATAAATCCATACTTAGAAGTTACTAATATATATGATATCTAATGTATGAGTATGTGTACATGTGTACACAAAAACGTCTTTTAAAAATGCCATTATCTATAACACAAAAAATTATATCTTTGTACATATTTAAAGCTATTCATGAAAAATTTTAGATATTTACTTAACTATGTAAGTTAAGGACAACATTTCCTTTACTAAGTATTTTAGTGAGCACCAAAATTCATGAGTATTTATGACTTTCAGTTCCTTTGGTAGCTGGGAATAACAAGTAGCTTCATTTATTTGGTTTTCTCCTAGTGTCTGTGGTTTTATCTTGCCCATCTAGATTCAAAATATATGTGCAGAGCAAACTAAATCTCTTTCTCACTCTATTTCTTAAAGGGCCTTGCTTTTCAAGAATTGGGACATATCTGGTGTTTCATATCTCTGCTATCAGACAGCAGAAATGCTCTGCTTAGAAAGATATTCAACGATGGGGAAAAAAAGAAAATAATGCTCAGGGAACCTGCTTTCTCCTATCCACTGCTGACTTGACCAAATATTTCTTGATTTTCTCATTTCATGATATTATGCAGGTCTTGCCTGGATTTAGTCAGGGTTTTGCAGGAATCTTCCAAGTACAGCATCCTTTATCTCAGGGCTGCACCATGCTTGTTTTCCTCCCCAGAACCCACCAAGCAGGCTGCAGAGGCACACTCAGTAGTACCACAGGTATTCATGTTCAGTGACTTTAAAAAATATGACCGGCCACAAAAGAGGTTGGAAAGCCCTGGACTGAGGTCAATTCCCTCAAGTCCTGACTAAAGCCAAACACAATGTTGTTTTGTTTTGTTCTTTGAGAAGCAGTATTAGGCAAATGGTATACCGATTCAAAAATTATAGTGTCAATTCATTAATCGATAAATTTTTATTTTATGTTCTGAATGTTCTAGGAGCAGAGGGCAAGGATAAACACATGCACACAACACACCTATACATCCACACACCTGTTACCGACACTTAAATAGAGAGTCATTCTTAGTAAAACATTTTTATAAAAGGATTTTAGACAAGGAAATCTTATCTGTTCCCAAACCTCTCCTCTATCAGCCATATAATAACTCTCTCTTATAGAGATTTCTGCAAGAAAGGGTAAATTCTAGGAGGTTATGAGCATATCTTAAGAAGTGTGTGTGTGTGTGTGTGTGTGTGTGTGTGTGTGTGTGTGATAGAGAATGAGAGAGAGAGAGAGACCAGAGAGAGACAGAGACAGAGCAGAGGATGAGCACTGTGGCTTGGTGAAGTAGTATTTCAAATTAAATAAATATCCTTTAGAAAGTGCTGAGATAGACTTAAGGTATGAAATGTAGGTAGGGTGCAGCCCAATTACATTGAATATCAACTGAATTGATATTCAGTTCACCAAGGAGAGAAGTCCTTAATGGGGAGTTGGCTTACGGGTGGAGGTTTGGCCAATGGATTCATACAGAGACTCCATCTGACTCACCTTCTCAGCAATGAATTTGGCTCTTCCTGAGCCCATTCTGAAGTTTTCTGGGTGATTTATTAGTCCCTGGGTCCCTCTGGATAGCGACCTGACCTCTAGAGGTAGCTGAAGTCTGTGATATTCTTTTCCACACTTTCCTCAATGTATACTGAGCTGGACAAATTATATTTAGGATTTTTTAAAAATTCCCTTAACAATATGTATTCCTAAAGGAACTATACTTAAATACACCAATTAGATATATTCATGATGGCAAACACGGAATACACTACTGGAAACAGTATAATAAATCAGAGCAGTTCATTTTGATTGAGAACTCAAGTTTTGTCAAATGATTAAAAAACTACTTAGATCCTGATTAATAAAATTCAAACGAGGTCCCCATCCTTTTAAAACTGCTATTTCCCTTAATTTTACAAACAAAATAAATTCCTTTCCTTACCATGTTTTTCTAAGTTTTGAATGAGCTGTGTGTACAGTGTTTAGTAAACTCTCCAGTAAGTAGCAAGTGTCTCAGAGATATTTTTTCCTTTAAAGGTAACATAAAATCAGAACTATATATAATCATAATACTCCAAATTCTGGCATAAAAACATTTTTATTAGTTTCTACCTTTATCTTGGTGAATCTGAAAAATTTAGTACATCTTTCTGATGGCCATCATAGCATCTTTAACAAAGGTGATTGTTTTCACACTTCTCAGAAATCATGTATTCATTAGCTCATTTCTCACTCTGTCTTGCAGATATATGTGTGTCTGTGTGTGTGAGATTCGATTCCTATATATGCCTATAGACATGGATAATTTATTATTGCAAGTTCTCCAGTTCTAACTACCTCACATTTTTTAGGTTTGTTCCATTTTTTTTGCCACTGGATCTATTATTTTTTTCTGATTGATTTGCCTTTCTATTTCTTCTGTATGTATCTTGTAGTAGAGAGGAAGGATACTTTATTTCTTTCCTTGCTATCAGATCAGGACACTGGATGACACTGATTTTGTAGAATATCAAGAACTCCTTCTGACTCATTTTGTGTTTGCCTTTCTAAATCAAAATTGACCCCTGTATTTATTATGAATGATAAAATTCAATTTCTTCTTAAATTTTAATCCAAGAATATGTAT